ACTGTAAACTTACTTTTGCCCACCCCTATATTAAGAGGAAAACCAAAGAAATTTTGGGGTTTAAAAAATTTTGGTATAATTTCAGAATTCAGAGAAGTTGCAAGAGGATGTATATGTATACTTTTAAAGAAAATATTGGGTTTCCAGACAGGCCCTTTCAGAAGCCATAGATACCACTCTGCTGAGGCCTTGGGAGCTGCTGTTTTTTGTTAGATTTTTACTCCCCTAAAGCCAGGATCAGCAACTGAGGAAGGAATTAGGCAACGAGACTTCAAACTCTGGCTTTGTCTCTTATGTTATCTGGACATGCTATTTGGCACTGGGACTGCAATTTATTCACCCATAAAACGGATAAACTCACAGGTTTGTTGTGGGAGTGTAAGAGATAGTGCCTACAGGGACATCGGACACTTTCTAAGTGCATACTCAGTGTGGGCCATTATTATTACCATCTTCTCAAGGTCCTTAAGAGTGCACCTTTGCCCTATTTATTAAATTGTATAGTTCCCATTTGGTGAATACCTATGAAGTTCCAACCACCATGCTACATGCTTTTCATGCCTTGTTATCTTAACCCCTCTCCACTCAAAAAATGTGGTCCCAGGACCAGCCACTTCAACATCCCCCAGGTTTGCGAGAAATGCCAAATCGCAAGCTTCAAGCCCAGCCTAATCAACGAGGCTCTGCATTTTTAAACGAGATCCCCAGATGGTTTGCATAACTGTTAAAGTTTAAGGAGTGTTGGTATGATCTCAACTATCCTACAAGTTAATAATGATAATCTACATTTCCAGAGGAGGTAAGGGAAGTGACTTGTTCTAAACTACATAGTCCTGGCATTGGCTTTCTCATATGTCTGGTTCCCTAGTCCCAGTCTGTCATCCAACACCCTCAATCCAATGCCAACCTCTCATATTTTCTGGGGAGTTCAGGAAGAGTCAACTGCTTCACAGCAGTCTTGGTGGGACCATGCCAAATGGCAGGGGCTAAAACTGGACTCAAGCTCTGGGGTCAGTCACAGGTTACATGACTGTTCTCTTCGGTGTCTTTCCCCTAGTTTTTCCAGTTTTCCCTCCTTTTTCCCTGTGTCTTTACTTTGGCTGAGTGCCAGGTTATTTGTAATTCCCCCTCCTTAGGGTCCAGTTAGCTCTTCCTCTGTCCAAGGCAAGTCCTCCTTCCCAGAACTTTCTTCCTGCCTCTCTCTTCCCTTCTGTCTAAGACAAAAGCCTCCGCCAACTCATTCCCAGGAATGAACATTGTTCCATGGCCTCTGAAGCTTAATACAGCAACTGAGACCCTATGGATCTCCCTAGCTCAGGGACCATGGAGAGTTTTTTAATAGTGAGTGCTAAGGTTTGAAGGTTGTCTATATCCTTTTAGGAAATATCTTTCTGTTTATTAAATAAAAGAGGATATTAATGTAAATCCCTGTGTTGCACACTTCTCTCCCCGCCCCCCCCCCAGCTTTTATATTCCTTCCTATAGACCACAACTGGACATTCAGGAATAAAGTTGGATTGAGAATTACCAAAGGTGCTGATTCAAACTATAGTAAAGCTTTGAACCTTGAGCAGATTACTTGGTTTGTGTTTTTGAGATTTCCTAGTGCTGATTTGCTGGTGCTGATGGGATTTTGCAGAAGGAATTGCAGAGCTCGTTTTCTCTTCTCACACTGAGATTTCCTCCCAACACTATCTCTCTGCTTGGAGCTTCTCATGAACTGTCTTGTCTACTTCTTTATCAGTGACTAGGACCATGCTGGCAAGTCCAAAGTCCAAGTAATTAATCATCAATTAATAACAACTAAGTACAGATGAATCTATACTGAATCATAGTTCCCAACAGACTTCCATTCTGTTTTAGTATACTTGTTCCCACAATTTTATTTTTGCATAAACAGAAAAATTTAAACATGATCATAAAATTATTCTTCCTAAGAAAAGTTTTTAAAAAGATGCAAGCTTTTAAACTATTCTCATTCATTTGAATTTGGTCATTTTCCAACAAACAGAAAAACATGGACAAGTGCCTCCTCTCAGCTGCTCAGAGTAAAAAGGTAACAGTGTCCTGAACATGAGACAAATACAGAAAACAGTAATTGAGGACCAGGCTGTGTTGGAACAGGAAGAAAACTTAGCAGCATTGATTCCTACCCTAAAACTCTGTTGCTGAGGAAACTGAGGCCAGAGGCTTGTCCAAAGTCACAGAGTGAATTATGGTAGATCAAGGACTAGGACCCAGGTTCATGACACCTAATCCATTTCTGCCACATAATTTTTTTTTTTTTTTTTTTATGAACCAGGCCTTTGTACAGACTTGGGGAAATATTTGAATTTGGTTTAAAATCTTTCATGTGACCTGAAAACTCACATACATTCTGTATTTTATAATGCACTTCACCCATGTGTCCTGTGATTTGAAAATAATGTATTCTAGCTTAGCATTTTCCCATAACTCTTGGGGTAAACATTGATGCTTCTGGGGTTAGCCCAGCCTCCTCATATCTCCTGGAACCCTGCTGGGAATCCTGATTTCAGAAGCCTTCCAAATTGCCTCATGTGACTTCCAGTAAAGCTATCAGTGTGTCATATGCGTGCCTACACTGTTTTCTCTAATCCTTGATATTTAATTAAGTCCATTTGGTTTGGTGGAGTACATTTGAATGTTCAAGGCGGCAACTCATATTTCATGTCAGCTTCCTCCATCTGGCAAGGAGTTTCAGGCTTTCAGATGTGCTGTGCAGCTGCACATTGGAGGTGGGTGTTCTCTAATCTTTGGGGAGTGGGAGTCTTGAGAATTCTGTAGATAACTGGCCTGCCTCTGGGCCTTTGTACATGCTGTTCCTCCACACTGTAATGCTTTTACCTGCTTCTTTGCCAGGTAAATTTCCTATTCATTCTTTCAAAAGTGCCAAATGCTATTATGTTCATCAAGTTCTCTCTATCACTTCCCCTTCAAATTAATCTCCCCTTTTTATTGGACCTCTTTCTTGAAAATAGTTTGTCTATCTTTCCACTTAAGCTCTTTGAAGGTGTGGCTGTGGCATTTTTGTATCTCCACATGGCTTGTTAACACTTCTATATAGTAGCTGTTTAATCAGTCTTGGTCGATTGGAATTTCTAAGTCAGGAAAAAGCATAATTTCAGCTGCCTTTGCTGTGTGAAGAACAAGAGAGAATGCATTGCAGCTTTCTTCTCAGGAGACCTAGGAAAGTTCCCATGCTTGGGTTTTCTTGTTTTGGTGTTACATTAGCATAAACAAAAGTTCAACTCTGTATTTCTTTCCCACAAGGGTTTTACTCCAAGGTTTGGGGTATGCTGCAGTCCTAAACAGAGTAAAGAGCTCTGTATGGACTATATGTTACAGAAAATTCTTTGTTTTGTTTTTTTTACAATATATCTTTATTGATTTCAAAGAGAGGAGGGAGAGGGAGGGAGAGAGATAGAAACATCAATGATGAGAGTCATTGATCGGCTGCCTCCGACACGTCCCCTGCTGGGGATTGAGCTGAAACCTGGGCATATGCCCTGACCGGGAATCGAACCGTGATCTCCTGGATCCTAGGTAGATGCTCAACCACTGAGCCATGCTCGGCGGGGCCAGAAAGTTCTTTTTCAAAGTAACCCTTGCCTGTCTGTTTCTCTGAGGGCTAGTACGACATCTTCATATGCCTAGCACCTTGTTATCAGACGGCAGTCCAGAGCTTGCTTGGTCTGAGCCACAGGGATAAAGGAGGAGGAACTGACCTTCAGTGGGGCCCTGTCCTATATGGTTTGACAGAGAATAGACAAAGAGATTGGACATGACTAGGCTTACATATCCATCTCTTTGCAAACCACACCTCAGTTCCTAAGAGAAACAACCTAAAGGACTTCTAATTTCATCATGAGATGGAAATCCTGCAAATAATCTGTATTAGTCAGGACAGGTTAACTGTGAAGCCATTCATGCCCAAGTCTCAGTGGCGTAATACAATAAAGTATTATTTTTGCCATCTATGGCAAGTGTACATGGGACCTTGGGTATGTGTGTGGGAGGTAGAGAGGAGGGTGGTTGCTGCATGCAGCCATTTCAGGTCCTGGGCCCCGTCTCTCCGTGGCCCTCATCAAACCCTTTGGCCTCAAAGCCTTCTTCTAGCAGGTGAGGGCCAAGGGAGCAATGGAGTATAGTGCATGCACTGGGAATGGCACCCATCACTCCCACCTACAAGCCATTGGTTAGGCCCCAGTCATATGGTCCCAGGTAACTGCAGGGGAGCGTGGGAAATGTGGTGCAGTTGTGGCCCTAGGAAGAAGAGGGAATGGGTGTGTTTATTATCTAACCCCTTGTCATGTGGACCTTGTTGGATTTATTATTGTTATTATTAATATTTTACATTTAAACCTTGATGTCAGTTATTAAGTAATGCTAACTGGAACGGTTAAGTGAAGAAGATAAATAGACCTGTCATCCCTGCAAAGCCTTCCCTGCTTCCTACTCACTCCTGCCTCTGGCTTTGATGTGTCTCAACTCTGAATATCAGGAAAACTCTGGAAAGGCCTCTCATGGGTATATGCCGCTTTCCCATCTAAGGGTATTGACTTATATGACTGGCTCCTTAAAGGGAGGCGTGTTCAGGTTTATAACTTCCACCACACTGCACCTTGCATACTGTGGACAATCACTAAAGACTTATGGAATTTATAAATGATTGAGCCCTCAACTCCCTTACCATCATTCCAACACAGCATGGCATTGGTTGAGTTTTCCACACATTGGGAGTCTGAAGACCCACAGCTTGTGTACCCACACCAATAACAGTCCAACATCCAGGTTAGAACCAGAGAACTAAATGACTATAACTGTAATAGATAATGCCAAATTATACCCTCACATATATTCATATAATTATATATTCTTTAAAAAATATCATATTAATGTTTTTCTCATCTGAATTGGAAAAAAACCTGGCTTGACATTTAATTCAGTAAATGACACACTTGTGTATGTGTTTGGATTAGATGGATGGAACCAACAGATTTCACCTGTTCATCTGGGAGACTCAGAGCCAGCAGGATGTGGAACACATGGCCCGCTGCGTTCTCTGCTATGGTAAGCATGGATAGCATTTCTGATCAGACTGATGTCTTTAGAATAGGATGAATTAATTGGTGGCCACAGGCCAGATCTGTTCTGCAGATATGTATTTTCTTAGCACATGCAGAGTTTTAGAATCTGGGGATTTCCTATTAATTCTGGGTTACCAGTTTTTCTTAGGAAGTCAGAATAGTCTGGAGAATCACAGATGTTGGGTTCCCATGTGGCTACAGTCAACCAGAAATGTGTTGTTCCTACTCCCTTTTGATGGAGCAAGGGTCTGCTGGCACCTTCCCTTCCCTTCCCCTCCCTATTGTCTTACCTCTAGCCTGCTCTGCTTACTTACCTGTCCTGCCAGGTTCCTGTGGATGACTGGGCTTATGTTCCTTCTTTAGTGGCACCTTAGTGTGGAGGGCAGACCACTGAATTAAGAGTCAAGAGTCCTGGGGGTTAGGCCTGGATTTATCATTGATCACCAGTGGGATATTGGCAGGTCATTCAATGTCTCTGTGTCTTCAGTCTCCATGGCTCTATCCCACACCTCACACTAGCCTGTGCCAGAGAGAACTTAGTGCTGTAACCCACGCTTTCCCATACGTGGACCACTCTTGTCCACCCCCACATCACCCAGGGCTAGAGAGAGTCCTATTGGTGAAATAAAAAGGGGATTCAATCGTTCCCTCTTCTTGATCTGCACTGAGACCTGAAACTGCTGTGAGAGATTTGGTCCTGAGAACTTCGTCAGGTCAAATGCAGTCATTGCCATTTGCAGAGTATGTTACAGTTGATGAACTGCCTTCACATCCACCATCTCATTTGGCACATTGTCTCTGGGCCTCAGTTTCCTCTCCTGTAGAAGCATAGACCTAGCTGGTATTTATTGAACTGGAGCTTTTACGGTACCAGGTGTTGTTCTGAGCAGTTACATATGTTAAGTCATTTTTTTAAATTGAAACCTCACAAGACAGGTATTATTATTATTATCATCATTGTCTCTGACAGATGAGGAAACTGAGGCAGTGGGAAGGCTGAGTAATTTGCCTAAAGTCTCCCACCCAGTAAGAGGGAGGACCTGGACTGGGCCAGACAGATGTCTGTGAACCTAAAAGTTAAGAAGCCATAGGGCCTAGTAGTTAAAAATGTTAAATGTGAAATCATCGTCTCAATTCTTTCTTCTGAAAAATGGGCATTTACTGACAGTGCCCATCTGTGGGCCTTGTCAACATAATGCAATTAGCACTCAGCAGCCGCTATTCTTATAGAGTCAGAAATGTGTTTGCCGGGAAAGGAAAGAGATGCACAGTAACTCTGGCCTCTCCTCGCCCTTCTTTCCCTCCCAGACAAATGCAGACCAGCGCTGGAGTGCAGGTCAGGCTCACCTGGACCCCTGGCAGTGGACGTGGACGTGGCATTCGTGGTGGACAGCTCCCAGAGAGTCAATGCAGACATGTACCGAGCTGCATTGAGTCTAGTGGACGCCACGCTTGACAACCTGGAGGTGGCTGCACAGCCAGAAGCGTTCCTCCGAGGGGCGCGCGTGGCTCTGGTAATGCACACGACCCCAGGCTTCTGGCCTGGAACAGGACGCCCCCCTGTGCTCGAGGCTTTCCGCCTGACCTCCTATGGCCACCGGATACAGATGCAGAGGCACCTCCGGGAGGCTGCGGGCCGCCCCCTGAAGGGAGCCCCGGCCCTGGGCCACGCCCTGGAGTGGACACTTGAGAAGGTGCTTCTGGCAGCTCCGCTACCCAGGAGGGCACAGGTTCTCTTTGCCATCGTGGCCAGTGAGACCAGCAGCTGGGACCGGGAGAAGCTAAGGACTCTGTCCCTGGAGGCCAAGTGCAAGGGTATCACTCTGTTTGTGCTGGCCTTGGGTCCCCGAGTTGGAACCCATGAGCTGGCTGAACTGGCTCGAGTGGCTAGTGCCCCCTCTGAACAGCACCTGCTGCGCCTGGAGGGGATCTCAGACTCAGAGGTGGCCTACGCCAGGGGCTTCACATGGGCCTTCCTGAACCTCCTAAAAAGTGAGCAATCCCTGAGCACTGGGGATGCCCCGGGTGGGCTGGGGTGAAGAGAAATACTTACATAGCCTGGCATTTTGGAGAGCAGGTGCCCACTGAACCTTCATCTTTGCTGAGGTGCGTGCAGTCCCACAGCCTCTGAGGAGTCCCTAGAGAGTACCCCGTTTCTGGAAAACCCTAAGCTGTCATTGCCCAGACACTGTGCCAAGCCTAGTGCTGATTTCTTGTCTAGAACCTCTCAGCTGGTGGTTGGGAGGCCTCAGTTCCACCTAACCTTTCCATTTTCTCATATACCAAAATGAAAATTACAGTCTCATCTTTATTTGTGAAGCCTACATTCAAATACCTGCATGGAAGGGCTTTGAAAGCACCAGTGTTGTACAAATATAGGCACAGTTATTGCTATTACTATTTCGGTAATTCAGACCCCAGAATCCAGTGGTGTGTAACAGTGCTTCTCAAATTTTAACGTGCACACCCATCTCCTGGGGATCTTGTTAAAAAATGTGGATTCTGATTCAGTAGGTTTGAGCTGAAGTCTGAGATTCCGCATGTTTAACAAGCTCCCAAGTGATGCTGATGCTGATAGTCCATAGACCACACTTTGAGTAAAAAGAGTGTATGACATTTATTTTTCAGGGACTTGCCAGGCAGTGAGAAAGAAGTCCAGGGTCTCCCACCTCAGGTTGGGTGGGTGACACCAGCAGTGAAGGTTAAGGGGCACATTGATAGTGCACCTGGGCAGGAATCCTTCCCCGCCCCGTTTTAGTGTCCTCACCAGCAATCAGAACTAGTTGAACCAAATTTATGGGCAGCCAGTACAAAAGCTATATCCTTAGCATGATAATGGAGATTGTTGGGATTTGGGGGTGGGTATTATCCTGGTTACAGTTCCTGGAGTTTGTCTTGGGCTAGAAAGGTCAGTGAACCACTCTGAACTTTAGATTCCTTATTGTTGTGGTAGGTGGATGAGGTATTTATAATATCTGGCTGATGACTTAGTGATTCTTTGAGGGAAAAGAAGCCTGAATGAATCACTTTTCTAGTCTGTTTTAATTTCATTTTACTGTATTTTTTATTATGTTAGGTTGCATTTTATGTTTTCTTATGTTCTTTTATGTTATGATTTTATATTATTTATATGATAAGATGCATTGTGTTTTGTTATTTTATTTTTGTATTTATTTTATGCTTTGCTTGACTTTATTTTACATCTTTTTGACTTTATGTCAATGGATTTTTTGTTTTTATGTTTTATTCTATTTCATTTTTATTTTGTTTTGCTTTTTAGTTTGCTTTAATGTATATTTTACTTTATTTTATGCTTTATTTTATTTTATGTCTTTTAAGTTTTTGTGTTAATGGATAATATGTTTTTATGCTTTATTTTACTTTACGTTCAGTTTATTTATTTATTTACTTATTTATTTATTTTTAAATGTATCTTTATTGATTTCAGAGAGAGGAAAGGAGAGGGAGAGAGAGAGATAGAAACATCAATGATGACAGAGTCATTGATCGGCTGTCCCCCGCACGCCCCCGACTGGAGATCGAGCTCGCAACCCAGGCATGTGCCCTGACTAGGAATCAAACCCCAATCGCCTGGATCCTAGGTCGATGCTCAACTGCTGAGCTACGCCCGACAGGGCAGTTTGTTTATTTTTTAAAAAATATATCTTTATTGATTTCAGAGAGGAAGGGAGAGGGAGAGAGAGAGAAACATCAATAATGAGACAATCATTGATCCGCTGCCTCCTGCACGCCCCCTACTGGGTATCAAGCCCACAACCGGGGCATGTGCCCTGACCAGGAATCGAACTCAGATCTCTGGCATCATAGGTCAATGCTCAAGTGCTGAGCCACGCTGGCCAGGCTGTTCAGTTTATTTTTAGGTTTTATATGATATTATGCTTTATTTTATTTGGTTTGATTTTAAAATTTTATTTTTAGGTGGAACGAACCAGTACCCACCCCCAGAGCTCATTGAAGAATGTGGGGGTCCAAACCGAGGGGACACTCTGCTACAGTCACATATGCTTACCAAGAGGTAGGCTGAGGGCAGAGCTGAGGTTGTCCCAAAGCTCTGTCCCCTGTAGGAGACTATCTCCCTAAAGAAAGGTCACAGGCAATGCCAGTCCTTGACCTGACCCAAACTATTGGAGCTAGGATGTTCCTGTGTTTGACAACTCTGATATGGTTTGGTTTTTCTTTCCTTAAGAGTAATACACAACCAGTGTAAAACATTCAAAGAGCACATAAGTATATAAAAACAAAAATTAAAATTTTCCATTCCATCCCACCCCCCATCATCTAATCCCATGTCCCAGAAGTAAAGTTAATAATGCTAAATATATTATTGTTACTTTTGTCCAAACATCTCTGCAAACCTAAGAAGGTAGCTAATGTGATAACAAAGTCATTAGGAAATGATCCAACCCAAAGCTTACTGAGCTCAGCATTGTCGATTGGAAAATGAGCCTCTCGGTTTTCGTGGCTTGGTTATGCGGTTTGACATGGATTGTTTCTATACAGGTTGCCCAGGCGCCAGCATTTTGCTGATGATTTGGAAGCACTTGAAGCAACAGACTTTTTTCTAGAGGAGAACAGAACAGCCACAATGACATCTATAACTCAGCAAGAGGTACTTGAAAATTATGAAAAGAATGGATATGCCATTGAAGAAAATGAACAAGGAATGTCTGCAAAACAAAAGAAAAATGGAAAAGAAACAAATCCAGGCACTGCCTACGGTAAAAACCAACTATTCTTTTCTCCTTAGGTTAACTTTTTAAAATCTTTATCTTTAAAAAAAATCCTTCGTACTCTGTTAGCACGCAAACTTTGGCTTTTATATACTTTCCTTCCAAATGTACAAATTCATGTATGAAGCTAAAGAAATTAGTTTAAGAACATATACAAAGACACACTTTCTCCTGAGTGTAAAACTGGAGCTAACGAAAGCTATTTCAGGGAGTAAGGTGGGGGGCACACCCTATGAAGTGTCTATTTTATTGTGGAGAAGCGTTGTTCTATTGCAGAAGGGGCAAACATTCTCCCAACCTTTAGGGAAAATGCACTGTCTTGAAGAAGGCTCCTTCATCTATCTATGAGTGGCCACATAGGTTCTGACCAAGTTGCAGGAACCTTTGTGTTCATCTAAAACAATTGCAGCAATGATTTAGGATTACAGCATGTAATAATGCAAATTCCATGTGACCTCTTATATGGGCTCAACAAAGTGAAAAAAACAGTGACCACATTAGAAGGAGACTTGGGGGGATTTGACTCTCAAGGTTTTAAAATGCAGGTAAAAGAAAACTTAAGACTCTGAGGCTTCCTTATGTTGCAAAGAATACCATAGAGATAAGTAGTTTAAAGCACTGAGAATATACTTCCCTATAGTTGTGTTGACCAACTACTAGCCACATTGGCTATTTAAATATAAAATAATTTAAAATGAAATAAAACTGAAAATTCAGTTCCTTGGTTGCAATAGCCATACTTCAAATACCCAATAGCCACATGGGCAATGGCTACTGTATTACACAGTGCAGACATAGAACATTTCCCTCATTGCAGAAAGTTCTGTTGGGCAGTGTGCTCTAGAAAAATAATCTAGGAGACGCAGCCCATTTGCCTCTCAGATTAAATGCAAGGGTGGGGCCTCTAAAGGCAAAAGCCACCAAATGTCACTGGGAAAAGTAATGATCTATTTATTTATTTATTTATTTATTTATTTATTTATTTATTTATTTAATACTTACCCAAGGATATGCTTTTTATTGATCCTAGAGAAAGAGGAAAGGAGAGAGAGAGAGAGAGAGAGAGAGAGAGAGAGAGAGAGAGAAACACCAATGGATTGTCTCTTGTGCTTGCTCTGACCAGGGGTCAAACTCACAACTTGGGTATGTGCCCTGACTGGGAATTGAACCTGCGACCTTTTGGTGTACAGTTTGATGCTCTAACCAGCTGAGTCACCCCACCAGGGCAAAGTAATGACCCATTTAAACAAGTCCTCGGCCTGTCAGTTTAGAATCAGCTTGTAATGGTAGAGGTTTGTGCCAGCTGACTGCTGAGCCCCAAGTCTATTTGTTGAACCTACAGAATACAGTCAAAAGTTCACCATTGGAGTGTTTTTCTGTTGACTCTGATACATTTTTGGAGAAGCATTTGCTCTGGCTCTTTCTCTTGGACCCTCACTGCTTGCTGTCTTACCCGCCCACGCCACCCCAAAGTCAGAGTCATGCAGCAGGCCAGTTCAAATGTGCCTGTTCAAGGCGTAGGACAGTTCTTTTCCCTGCTAAGAGTGTGTCTCATCCTCTTGGGTCCAGAGCAACTGGCCACTCCTTCAAGAGAACTACTCTGTGCTGATTATACTAATGGGGCTATTTCCCAGAAACAGACCATAAATTTTAACTCTTATTTTCTGAAGACAATATCTTCTTTATTTGGGAGTGATTGGAAGGTGGGGGGAAACTGTTTGAAGGATACCACTAATCTGTGCTCTGGGGCTGACCTAAAACAAGAATACCTGGAGAAATTAACATCTGACTTAAAAGTCACTGTATCCCAGATTTTGCTCTGTTGTAACTTGTTGATTCTCAGTGCTTTCTTCATTTTCCAGGAACATTATGTTTTTCTTTTAATATTAACATCTTGGGCAAGTGTCACGGTACAATAAATAATAAATAAACTGGTTTTGCTTAGGCTATTAGAAGGCTTTGAGGTTACCTAAGCGATTGAGATGGTTTGAAAAAAGAAGGAAATAAGTATAATAAACAAGTAAAGAGTTCTCAGTATCAGAAAGATTTATTCATTCATTCACTCATTTATACATTGTCTAATGTACCTGCCACGTATTAGGTACTGTGCAAAATAAATAGCTGTAATCATATTACACCTTTCACATATGTTATGTGACACCTTATAACAAACTTGTGATGGTGTTGGTTTTTTTTAAAATATTGCTTTTATGATTTAGGGAATTGAGGCTCAGAAAGTTTACTTGCTCAAGGTCACACAGCCAATTGGTAGTGAGGCTAGGATTCGTTTCCAGGCCTGTGACACCAAGCCATTATTCCTTTCTGGTCATGCTCATACAAGAAATTCAACTCTCTGCATGTGTTTTGTGACAGGTCCCTGTTTTATGGATCCGATGGAAGGCGAGTGCCAGGATTACATCCTGAAATGGTACTATAACAAGGAGGAGCAGGCTTGCCAACAGTTCTGGTATGGCAGCTGTGGGGGCAATGCCAACCGGTTCGAAACCAAGGAAGAATGTGAGGTTTGGTGTGTCCCAGCACCCCTGTAGTCAGGCAGAGCCTCATTACTGTTGCCTCTGTTTTAATCGTCTATGAAACCGAGATTGAGATTGCCTTTCCTGAGACAATGCTGCAGATCATAAGTGATGAAGCCCACTCTGCAATCTCAGAGATCGAGTCCTAGCCCCCTGAACATTTTCCTGCCAGTGGGGGCTTGGGCCAAATGATTTGTGATTTGGGAAGGACCACATTCTAGTAGTTAAAAAAAAGTAACTGAAACTTTCCTGAAAGTTATTTAAATGATCTAGAACTGAATGAAAAAGAAACTTGAACTTGACATAACACTAATTTTTTGGGCTATGTAGCAAAAGAAAAACCAATGTAAGCAGTGAGTAAAACTAATTTGGAAGTGAGTTGAAACTTGCTTTCTTTTTTACCAGTAGAAAACTTGGAAGGGTTAGTCAGAGCAGGGGTTTGGAAAAAGGGACACCTAATGTGAAATTTCATCCTGACTACCTACTGTGAAAATAAAGGCATTCTCAATTAAATCATTTGGTGTGACCCTACATGTGATGATACCTTCTCACTGCAATCTGCACTATTCTTTGTTGACATAGCACTTGATGGAGAGGAAACAGAAGTGACTTTGTCATGGGGCCAATCCTTTGTTATTAATTACAGTGACTCTTGCTCTTTGAAACTGTGGCTCAACAATTAAGGCTGACATTGTCAACACAAATATGAAGGGTCTAGGTTTATCCTGAGTGAAACATTTTGCAATATGGCTCACAGCTCTATTCTGTAGGCCTCTGAACTTGGGCCCAGCTTCAGGGCAGAAATTGGCATTGCATGGAATTCTAGAGCTGCTGGGTACTGAGGGTGCCTGGCACAGGGCCTCTGAAGGGTCATGTATTAGTCTGCTCAGGCTGCCATAACAAAATACCACAGACTGGGAGGCTTAAACAACAGATATTTATTTCTCACAGTTCTAGAAATTGGGAATCCAAGATTAAGGTGCCGGCTGATTTGCTCCTCATGAGAGCTCTCTTCCTGGCTTGCAGATAGCTGTCTCCTTGTTATGTCCTTAAATAGCCTTTCCCCTGTGGAGAGAGAAAAAAAGAAAGGAAGGAAGAGCGAGAGTGAGAAAGAGGAGGGAGGGAGGAAAAGAGGGAGGGCTCCTTTCACTCTACTCCATTGGTTCCAAAACAGGAGGATGAGCTGAGACAGAAGAAAGGAATTTCCTGCCTGACCATAAACAAGCTTGACTTTGTTATCTGCCTCAGATGCTTCCCTCCCCCGGCCAACCCACCTCCCCACTACCCTATTGTCTGTTTGGGTTTCAACCTTTCAACCCTACTCTACTATGCAGTCAGAGAAGTTGGAAGCTCAATTTCCCAAACTCCTATGTAGCTGGGGAGACCGTGCAACTCAGTTGGCCAGGGAGGTACGTGGGAGCCTGCTGGTTCTGCCTTTGCAGCTTCCTCACCCTTTTCACCTAGAATGTCCACATGATGCTGAAGCCTTTGCCGAGGATAGAACACGTGGGAAAGTTGGAAAAAGTCTGGATTCTTGATGGAGTAGACCTTAGACCTACTTGCCCTGGACTGCCTATCCTGGATTTCCTCTCCTGTGAGACGAATTCCTTGTTTGCTTGAGCTATTGCTTGTCTGGAACCAGCCACCACACAAGACCCTAACTGATATGTAGGCATTCAGAGCTCCTTCTTTAAATCGCTAGTTCAAGCGTGGACAAGCTCTTCATCTCTTGTCCTCTAGTCAAGACTCTTGGATATAAATGTCAGAAGTAAAACTCAAAATAAGTAGTAAAGGCCGTAAGAAGAATTAATTGGCTCATGTATCCCCTTGAAGGCATGGAAAGAGCTGGGTTTCTGGAACCAGAGATTCAAACACGACTAAGCTCCATATTTCTATCTTTAAGTCTATTTTGTTTTGTGGATCAATTTCAGTTTTCAAACCAGTTATTTCTAGGGGTCTTGAACCATCATTCCAACAATTCATCGGTCACATCTCACCCACTAAGCCACCAGAAAATAAGGATTCTCGTCTTGTTTTGTGATATTAACACACTTGCTGCTGAGGGCTGTGGACTTCCCACTCTCAGGTCCCCTTCACCCGGTGGGTGTCATCCATAATCTACCACTAGGAAACCTCTTCTTTGATCCTCTGACTCTGAGTAATCAAAATTAGAGTCTCCCTGCATGCTACTTTGGTAGCGCCTTCTCAGTCTGGATTTCCTGTCAGAAAGACTTCTACTCTCCAGCTGACACATATAAGAGGGTAGCTTTTATTCTGAAATATTGTCTGCATATTTTAATAAAATATAAGCACCCCTATAACTGTAACAAGTAGGAAGAAAGGAGAAAAGTATGGTTTTTTCTCACAGGCCGCTCCCCACCTCTGCTCCAAATAATGTGAGAATGTACTTTTCTAAGGAAACTTCCAAAAGAAACCTCAAGCCATTTCCCATAAATTAAAGCTCGAGGGAACTAGCAAGAATTATGTGAGTCACAACTTGGTTTTTGGATTGAAGCTGGATTCAGGATAACAAAAGAGTGGTTGGATTTTAAGAATTTCACCATCGATATGTACAGAATGAAGCCACAGTACACAGAAAGAAAAGCAGAAAAGAGACTAGAAGAGACAGACATCCCAAACCACGATTGATAAAGAATAGCTGTTAAATGTAGTGAAATGTAGAGAATTCTATTTTATTTTTATTTATTAATTAATTTAAAATTTTATTTATTTATTTATTATTTATTTATTATTAATTTAAATAGAATTTATTGGGGTAACATTGGTTCGCAAAACCATATAGGTTTCAAGTGCGCAACTCAATAAAATACCTTCTGCACATTGCATCGTACACCCAACGCCCCAAGCAAAGTCTTTCAGTCTCATTTCCCTCCCTTTGCCTCCCTCCCCGTCCCCCCATCCTTTTCCTCTGGCTGACACCCCATCGTCTGTGGTTATCACGACACCGGCTGAGCCCCTACCACTCCTGATCTAGATTAAAAAGTCATTCAGTTCTACTGAAGGTAACTACAAAGGACAGAATTTTCTTGCCCCTTACCTCCTTAATTCAGGCTCCCAAAGACAATCACATTCAACTCTTTCTTCCTTTTTTTTTTTTTTTTTTTTTTTGGTG